AGAACAAATCAATAAAAGCCTAATTTTTCATAAAACAAGCCATATTACAGTTCCTTTGCAAAGAATAAAAGATTCAAAGAAATGAAGCTGCAGAATGTTTGGCTGCACAGCCATTCACAGTATAGGAATGAAAGAGCTCACTTTTTCATTAGCCTTCTCAGCTCTGAAAACTGGAGTACTACTGGATTCCCAGTTTGGTGGAGATTACTGATTCTGAGACTAACTTTGTAGGCAGTGGATACAGGATGTATTTCTCCTAACTGGAAAAAAAAAGTTGAAATCAAAGCATGGTATTTTGGTCAAGTTCTTGATAAAAAGAGAGCAGGTAAGAATGCTACATAGCAGGGGCATTTAGTAAAGCTGTCAGTGTTTACAAACAGTAGTATTTTAATCCTTCTTGTATGTAGTTACTGTTAAAATTTCCTAATAATTGGATAATCAGCTTGAAAAGCTAGCCAATGGCAGCATTTTGTTTGTTTCATATTCACACTCAGTCCCAAATATTGTAGAGCATCTTGTGTAAGTGTTAAGCCTTCAGTCTGTGCTGTACATACAATATTTAGTCTCTGATGCAGACATTGCAGAAGAAGGGAATATAAACTCTCAATGTATTGTTTTAAAAGACAAAAATGAAGTTCAAATTACAGAGAATACAGATAAGTAGTTCTTCATATTTCCAATGCATTATAATGTAAGAAGGACAGGACTCGATGGTACAAACTTCAGACTGCATTAATTATTCTTAAATAAAATCACTTACGTGTCTTTTTCAAATACACTATGACAGTAAATGGCTAGTTAGCAGTGACACAAATTAAACCACTTTAATTATCCATGAACAAAAATGTAACTTGCATTAGTTACAGATTTCAATTTAACCATGTATTAAAAGAGGTGATATTCTGACAATGCAAACACAGTGTTTGGTTTTATGGCTTCCTTATGTTTGCACCTATGTACAAAATCTTTGTCCTGTGTAATTTACATCCCAGGTTCAGCCCACCACCATGGAAACCAGGATATCACCTTCCCTTAGCCATAAAGTCCTCCTCTTTACCATGCCCTAGTCTGGTGCAGCCTGGACCTGATTTAAACTGATTTAACTACGGAGTATTTTGCTGGGCTAGAGAGTTAAATCAGCTCAGGAAAGAGTCTCACATACACCAAAACAGGACAGTGAAAGGAGGACTGGCTCTCTGTTATGGATGGAGCCTGGGCAGAGTAGCTGGCTAATTTAGCTGTTAAAGTCAAATATCCACAGTCAGGTCTTATGAACTCCTCTCAGTTTATCTCTACAGCTATTTCTGTCAAGGTTATACTTCTTGCTGGTTGCAGCTTAGAGCTGGAATCACGTGGCATGCTTCAGTGAGTTGAATTCCACACAGACATGTGGATGACCTGATAAAGTTGCATTCAGAGGACTGGAGAGGGTCTTGCTCTTCTGTTTGCATGAAAGGAGACACTGCCTCTATTCTATTCATCTTATCACCACATGACCCTGAATTTTTAGTTAACAGAACAACAGAGTACTAAAATAGACTATTTCAATCATTATGCACACAATTATCAAAGTATATCTAACTGCTCTGTAATGTAGCTAAGTTGCTGAGGAACTATCACCACTTGACTGTTACACCTTTCTTTTTGTATTAAATCCTGAAAGGTGATACTCAGACTTCTTCTGAATGGCAGCTGTAGTCAGTGCAACTAAGATCTTAAAAACCCCCCTAAGTTTTTTAAGCAGAAATTAAGCTGAAATGAATAAATTTTCAGTGAAAACTCTACTCAGATTTGCTTATAACATTGACAATGGTATTTGATAGTATATGTATGGTTTTAAAATAGACTAAAGAAAGTATTTTTAGAAGTTTAATATTCAAAGAAGATATTTTCTTCAATTTACAACCTCCTTGTAAAGGGAACAAACTCTCTTTCTGAGAGCATAAGTACTCAGCTGCCTCATTCTTGCCTATCAGTTTGTCCTGGGTAATCCAACTGGGTATTCTTGAAAGTAAACAGTATAATTTACATAAAGCAATGAATGTCACTAAACTCATTACAGTTCTTACTAGTCTGGCCTCAATTCAACAGACAAACACAGATTTATCAGGTTTCGTATTTCCTTCAAAAGCAACATATAATATACTTTGTACAATCATAGGAGCAAAGCAGCCAATTAAATTCAAATTCCACAAAACTTAATCTAAAATCTCTATTGGTTTAGCACAGTTGATAACAGAATTGGTTTGCATTCTTACTATTCCAGTTACCAAAGTTCAAAAAGATTGCCACGAAGCATTATATTTTCCTGCTGCCAGCAAAATGACTGCAAAACCAGAAATGCCATAAAAACCTGGTAATGCAAGGATCCTACAAGACAGGGATAATTACTCTGTGAATCCCTATGGCCCTCAAATTCACAGTCATAAAGCAACATATCTCACTCTGGGAATCATACAGGCACAATTAGAAAATCAAATCCTGAACTGCTTGTAAGCGAGTTTTAGAAAAAGGCAAACTTTCTCTGCTTAGACTTCTGAATAATGAATTGTATTTTCAAATAAGTAAAACTACTTTTTGGAAAATAATTCTCCTGGTTCACACAGGTCTCCAGAAAAACCTGACAGATAATTTTTTACTTGCAACCCCGACACTGACCTCTCATACTTAGTTTTCACAGTCATTCATATACGTTTCGGGAGAGTAGCTTTCCTTTGTATTTCTCTGATAATTTGTGATCAGCAAAAAACAACTACTAAACCCACAAATCACAGAGAAGGGCTACATGATTATTTTTAAACAGGTCAAGATTGAGCTTTGGTTTAATGTCCTGGTTTTGGCAGAGGTAGAGTTAATGTTCATAGCTGGTATGGGTTTGGATTTGTGCTCAAAACAAAGTTGATAACTCAGGGGTGTTTCCAAAGTTTCTGAGCAGAGTTTACACAGAGTCAAGGCCTTTTCTGCCCCTCACCCCACCATCCCCGAGGAGGCTGGAGGGGCACAAGAAGTTGGGAGGGGACACAGCCACAACAGCTGACCCCTACTGACCCAAGGAATGTTCCAGACCATATGGCGTTATGCTCATCACGTAAAGCTGGGGGAACAAGGAACAGAGGGATGTTGGGAGTGATGGCATTTGTCTTCCCAAGTCACTGTTATGTGTGCTGGAGGCCTGCTTTCCTGGGGATGGCTGAGCACCTGCCTGCCCATGGGAAGTGGTGAATGAATTCCTTGTTTTGCTTTGCTTTTATGCGTGGCTCTTGCTTTACCTACTAAACTATCTTTGTTTCAGCCCAGGAGCTTTCTCACTGTTACTCTTCTGATTCTCCCCCTCACCCCGGGGGAGGAGTGAGCAAGTGGCTGTGTGGGGCTTTGTTGCCAGCTGGGGTTGAACCGTGACACTTCATTAAGAAGAACCCAAAGATAACCATTATTTACCACAATACAGAGGCTCCTTTCCAGTTCTATGTACTTTAATTATCAGCAGGACAAAAAGGTACATCACCGAGTTTTGAAGTAAAAAAAAAAAAAAAACAACAAAAAAACGACAAACTACCTGGCCCATTGTACAACTAAAGGTGCTAAACTTCATTTTGCCAAGACTTTTAGCTACTGATAGACCTAGTTCTGTGTTTGTGAAGTTGTAAACCCAGTGAGGATTTTTATTTTTGTACTGAACATCACAGATCGCTATCTTTCCAACACATTCCTCTCCCAGTACAAAGTCCATTAAATCAGTGATTGTCACTTCGTTAGTGTTTTTTTCCCCAATCCAGTGTTGCACATGTGTAAGCTGAAACAGGTGACTGCCACATGAGAGCCTGGGCAGATTTTTTAAGTATGGCAAGGTGGGTGGGTAGGGGGTCAGAAGTGGTTTCAAGCACTTCATTAACATAAGTTGTTAACACCGACGCACTGCAGGATTTGCAAGCATTGTGGTTTTTTTCCACAAGCTGCAATCCCTGAAAGGGACGATGGAAAAGGATGGGAATGTCCCATCTCTTGAGCAGCGGTACCACAAATCCCAGCTGCTCATCATGCTGTCCCTCCCTGGCAGGGCCGGCACAGGGCAGCTGTCCCCGTGTCCCCGCACACCAGCAGGCCCCTGATGGATAAACAACAGCCCTGAGGGTGGGCTGAGGAGTGCCAACAAGCTCCCGGGAGGATGGTCATCCTGATGAGCGCTGGGAATCAGGGAGACCTGCCAAGCACCCAGCTTGCTTTATCCTGCACCAGCTCCGAGCGTCCCCACGGACGAGGCTGCGGGGAGACTCGGCTGAAGCCAGCCAGTCTCTGTCATGGCCGTGTGAGGGCACTGGACACGCGGCAGGGGAGCGGAGAGCCAAGGCCGAGGGCACAGGGACACTTGTGCCGGGGGACCCCGAGCACGGGGGAGAGGGAGGGTCCTGTCATAGCGTTCCCGCAAGGGGGCGCCGCGGGGCTCCAACGGCGCGAACTACAGCTCCCGGCATGCAACGCGGAGGAAAGGCGCACGCGCATGCTCAAGGCTGCCGGCGGAACCCGCCAGCGTCACCCCTCCGGTTACGGCCGTAACCATGACCCTTCGCTCCTCTTTCGCACCCGGGGGTGCCGCCGCGACCGGAAATTCCCGTTGCCATAGCACCCGTCTCCCCGGCGAACGTCCCGCGTGTCCCCGGAAGGGGTTCCCTGTGGACACGGCGCCCGTCGCTCCCGGCAGCCGCGCCCCACGTGGCCCCGCCGCTCGGCGCAGCGGTCCATTCATTGCGGCCCGGGCCACGCCCCCCCACGCGCACCATTGGCCCAGCGCCGCCCCGCCCGGCCAATGGGCGCCGGCCACGCTCCGACCGCAGGAAACCGCACATGGAAAGCCGCGATTGGCGGCGGCGACCGCAGGCCCCGCCTTTCCAGGCTCCCCATTGGCTGTGTATTTGGCGTGGTGCGCAGCCATTGGTGGGCGCAGCGCGGCGCCCCCCGCCCGGGGGTTGATAAGGCGAAGGGGGAGGGCCGCGGCCGCTCCAGCGCCATCGGCGGCGGCGGCAGCAGCGCGGGTCGGGCTCGGAGCGGTGCCGGGAGCTCTTCGCTCGTCACCGCGGCTTCTTCGCTCGTCACCGCGGCCGCCATGAGGTCTGTGTGGGGGCTCGCTCTGGCGTGCGCGCTGCTCCTGGCCGGTGAGTGCCCGCGGGCTTCTAGAAGGTTCTGACGGGTTGGAGGGGGGGGCGGGTGTCAGGGTCCCGGCCAGCAGGGCCCCTTTCCCCCGCTCGCTGGGGTGAGGGGGATGGAGGCCGCTGGGGGAAGGGGAGACCCCGCGCTCTGCCCTGCGGGGACGGGAAGTGGTGCCGAGCCCTTGTCCGGGCCGGGCTGTCCCCAGGGCTGGGGCGGCGGGGGGAGGGGGCCGGGGCGGCTCATGCGCCGTCACGGGCGGGGGCGAAGGGGAGGGAGCGAGGGGGCGGCCCCTGCCCATCTCCCGTGTCTCCAGCTGGGCTCAACTTTCCGGGGGAGGGAGTGGTGGAACGACGGAGCAGAGCCGAACGCCGTGGGGAGGGGTAAGCGGGGAAGTTGGACGGTGCGGGGGCTCAGAGCATCGGTTTCCTTGTTTTCCCAGTGTCGGTCAGAGCCGAGGAGGTGGATGTAGATGGGACCGTGGAAGATGACTTGGGCAAAAGCAGAGAAGGGTCTCGAACTGATGATGAAGTTGTGCAGAGGTTGGTACGCGGGGCACTCGTGCTCAGTAATGCCTGAGGCCTCAGAAATGGGGAGGGACTGCTGTTCAAAAGAGAGATCTGGTCAGCTGGGGGAAAGAAAATACTTCTGGAAAAGATCCTGAAGTGACCCTGAGGACTTGGGCTCAGGAAAGCTCAACTTGGTTTTGTCCAATATCGATAAGCTATATAAAACCCAGTATGTTCATGGAGTTTAGTCTTGCATGTCATAAATGGCATCGGTGTAGCGCCTACTAATGAAATAGCTGTGTGCCCATGAACTACCTCATCTGTGAGGTGCACTGCATGCTGAGGATTGCAGTGGCTTTAACATATCTGAATTATTCCCTGGACTTCTTTTTATGAAAATGTCTCACTTGCAGTCATGAATTTTCACTCCAGTTCTAGGTTAAGGTTGTGCAGTTGAGGGTAGCTGCTCTTGCACTTAGGTCATTTCATCATGTAATTTTGGGCTACATCAGTGACAAAGGGTCTTCATGTTGTTTGAACTAGGCTGTTACTGCTGTTGCTTGATGATAAAATTAGTGATGCTGTTTGTGGATGAGACTGCTTGACAGGTTTTCGTTGTCCTAACAGAGAGGAAGAAGCTATCCAATTAGATGGCCTAAATGCATCCCAGATCAAAGAAATCAGAGAAAAATCTGAGAAGTTTGCATTTCAAGCAGAAGTGAACAGAATGATGAAGCTAATTATCAATTCTTTATATAAAAATAAAGAGGTTAGTGCCTTTATCAGTGGATCACGTTAGAACATGGAGGAGAGTGTGTGTGTGTCTCTTCTGGAATTCCTGACTACTGGTTTCTATTTCAGATTTTCCTGAGGGAGCTTATTTCAAATGCTTCGGATGCCTTAGATAAGATACGGTTGATATCATTAACTGATGAAAATGCTCTGGCTGGTAATGAGGAACTTACAGTCAAAATCAAGGTAAGATGCGTTAGATACAAACATCTCTTTCAGAGGAGTGATGGGAGCAATATAAAAAGATGGTCCATCATTAAATCTAAATGTTTTGGCTTCATACTGATGCAAATACAGACTAGGATCACATCAAGACCCTTGTAATTAGATTTATCAAAGACTACTCTTGTTTTAATGGTGAAAATATATTTCTGATTTTATAAAGAGTAACTGAAGTATTGGAATATTTGGAAGGGAGGATCTTTCTTATTTCTGTAGTTACTGCAAATTCCTTTTATTGTAGCCAGGCATATTTGAATGGGTAATACAGTTAGCCATTTTTAGGGGGCAGTGGGTTATGTATTAAGATTCAAAGTGAAGTCAAACTGCATTTTTCTTTATTTTTTTTCAGTGTGATAAAGAGAAGAACATGCTTCATGTTACAGATACGGGTATTGGCATGACAAAGGAGGAATTGGTTAAAAACCTGGGTACCATTGCAAAGTCTGGTACAAGTGAATTCTTAAACAAGATGACTGAAATGCAGGATGATAGCCAGTCAACATCTGAGTTAATTGGCCAGTTTGGTGTTGGCTTTTATTCTGCTTTCTTAGTAGCAGACAGAGTTATTGTCACATCAAAACACAACAATGACACTCAACATATTTGGGAGTCAGATTCAAATGAATTCTCTGTGATTGATGACCCCAGAGGGAACACTTTGGGACGTGGCACAACCATAACGTAAGTACTAAGTTTCTTTGGATTTAAAATAAGTTGTGTGGATACAGTTTTCTTATTAAAATGTGCAAGTGACTTCAGCATTGTGACTCATAGTATTTGATTCTTGTAATACAGCTTTATTGAGTTTAATAGAAACATACAGATTGTAAACTGCATCCAACATAAGAAAACCATGCGCATCCTAAGAACTGTCAGCAAGTAATTCTGGACAGTTCAGCTGCATGCAGGCTCATTCAGTTCCTCAACACAACTGGCAAAACCTACACAGTGACTGTAGACCTTTGTCTTGGAAACTGGCTGCTATTTATATACCAGTGAGACTGGCCTGATGCAAATTTCAAATTAGGGGTAGATTGACAGTCCTATTTTCATTGCTTTCATGAGCAGATACATTTACTTGGTCTGGGTTTAGAGGCTGTTTTCCTGGAGAAGGCACTTAGCATGAAAAAGTTGGTCTTGTTGCTCTAGTTCCAAGCAAAGCCCGTGAAAGCGCATCAAGATCCTGATGAGTACCAATATGATTTAAGGTTTTCCTGTAGACTTTTGGATACTGTGTTCTGCCTCAAGTGATGAAAACAATAGCCCTTTGTCATTGGAGTAGTTCAGAAGGGATTATATTTTTTAAGGGATTCTTTGAGCTGAACTTATTAAAGCTGACTTGCATAAATCTGAATTGCTATAGCTGCCACAGGAATATGCATCTTCTATAAAACTACGTCAAAATACTTGTCTGGCACTTAAACTGAAGGATTTTTTTATTTTCTTTAGCCTTGTCTTAAAGGAGGAAGCATCTGATTATCTTGAGCTGGATACTGTGAAAAATCTTGTAAAGAAATACTCACAGTTCATAAACTTCCCCATCTACGTGTGGAGCAGCAAGGTAAGGCAGCATTTAACTGAGCCTTGCACAGTATGAGCTTGGGTTGTGACAGCTGTCTGGCCAGATCTTTCAGGAAGGGTGACGACATGTCAGAGAGCTGCTACTTGTCTAATTTCCAAAATTCTTCTGTTCCTGACTCTTCTGGCTCGTATTTTACTACTTAGTTTCTCTCCAAAAATTGGTCTGTTGCTAAAATCACAAATTTTAAAGGAACTTGGTTTTATTCTGACTCAAAGAACTTTATCAAAGGAAAAAGACTGCTGATTACTAGGAAGGATTGTTATTCCACTGGCTTTGTTTGGTAGATGGAAGCTTTAAGTTTTCAAATGGGGTCATAGTAGGTGTCCTCCTAAAAACAGGGCATTGTCTTAAATGTTAGACCTGTTCTGATGTTTTCTTGCTGTAGCACCAGTTTAAAATCCACCAAGTTTCTGATTAGCTTTATGAAAAACTTAAATTTGAGGATGGTCATCTCCCAGTTTGTTGAAGGAAAGTGTGTATTCATGAAAATTTAACAAAACAGTATAGAGAAAAGTTTGCAATAGACAAATAGCACAAATCTAACTAGTGCTGTGAGAGATTAAGCTGTTTGAGAGAATACTAGAACATACCTGGTAGGAAGTCAAGGTGTTCAAATCCCCACTTTCAGTTGTCTCTTTAGACAGAGACTGTTGAAGAACCCATTGAAGAGGAGGAAGCAAAGGAGAAAGAAGAAACAGATGATGATGAAGCTGCAGTTGAAGAAGAGGAGGAAGAAAAGAAACCAAAAACTAAGAAGGTAAGCTTTGTTAAACTTGGGGTTCTGGAACTCAGATGGTTCACTGATTTTGCAGAGGTGCATTTCAGTAGTGTGTGCTCTCAAGGACCAGTCCCTTTTAAGTGGAGATGTCTTGGCAGGATAGTAGATTGTAAATGAAACAGACTTGGTTGAGGTCAGGCAGATGACTGACAAGAGCCTTGTGGGGCAGTGGTCACAGAGCTAATTATAAGTATTTGAGTGAACTGCTTGAAATGGTAGCAGGCTTCAGTAAGCTGACACTGACTAGTTTAAGTATACTCTGCTGGGAAGCTTTTTCCAGAGCGGCAGTAGAACAGAAATACTGGTACTCAGTGAATGTGTTAAATGTACATAGAACAACATAATACAATGTCGACTAAACATTTGTTCCCACATGTTGCACTAATGCATATACTTGATAGAGAATATCAAGGCCATTGCACAATTTTGTAAATTAGCATATTTGGTGTTTTTTGCATGCTATTTTATGTGTTGGCTTCAGTGGAGTGTCTTTAATTGACCTAAGCTGAAGTAAAGAATGAGTCTCTTCATACTGTGTGGTGTTTACTTACCTAGGTTGAAAAGACTGTGTGGGATTGGGAGCTAATGAATGACATAAAACCAATCTGGCAGAGACCATCTAAAGAAGTTGAAGAAGATGAATACAAAGCTTTTTACAAAACCTTTTCCAAGGTAAGCTCTGAGCCTCAAGATGATTCCAAAGCAAATGGTTTGCTCTGGTATCTCTTGCTTTGTAAATAAAACTGAACGCTTATAGGATGGGCTGTTTCTGAAGAATTAATTAGTTGCTGTCAGTAGACGGAATTGCGGAGTCTGGAAGGTTATAACATCTCAGTCTGGAGTTAATCTTTTTTTCCGGAGAAGATGTATTGACACCCAAGTGTTGAGTGGCCTAGGTTTGCGAAGTAATATGGTCCATCTTATGTGAAGCTTGCTGGTGTGTCTAAATGTTAACAGGAAAACTTATATTTAGTCTGAATGGTGGTGCTTGTTGCACATGGTGGAAGAAAAAGGGAGGTACAGCTTTCTAGAAATGTCTTTGTGTCAGTACAGTGTAATGTGTTAACTTGGGAGTCTCTTAACTGTGCTTTGATGATATTATATTGGTTATTGTGCTATTGGCTATCTTTTTGTGATTGGCTTGTTAAAAAATAACAAAACTTAGTAGGTCCTTAGGAAGGTTATTTTTGTGAGTAACTAGGCTCTTGTAATTTAAACTCTTGTCTCCATGATAGATTCTAACAAAGCATGGTTAGGTAGATTAGCTGCAAAATAATGGCATTTATTTGACAAACGAAGGTTATTACTGGAAATATATTAACTCTGATATTTTCCCCATGTCATTTAAAAGCATTTTCTCTCCACAGGAACATGATGACCCGATGGCATACATCCACTTCACTGCTGAAGGGGAAGTAACTTTCAAATCCATCTTGTTTGTACCTAATTCTGCTCCACGTGGACTGTTTGATGAATATGGATCCAAAAAAAGTGATTTCATTAAGGTAGGACAAGCAAGTGTGTGGACATGGTTTCATGTAAACAAAAAGTCGCTAAGTAAGTAACGTGGCTGCTGTCTTCTCTTTTAATTCAGCTGTATGTTCGAAGAGTCTTCATCACTGATGACTTCCATGACATGATGCCCAAATATCTTAACTTCGTTAAGGGTGTTGTAAGTATTAAATGTCCTACTATCATTTGATTATTTTTTTTAATCTTTAAATGCTGTCATGTGTACTTAAAATTTGCTTCCTCAATTAGGTGGATTCTGATGATCTTCCTTTGAATGTATCCCGTGAAACACTTCAGCAGCATAAATTGTTAAAGGTAAGCTAAATGATCTTAATTTCTTCCATTGTAGCACATGACTGTAGCAAGCCTTAGGAGAATAACAGCTTGTTTCATTTTGTTACATAAGGACTGTGAAATTAAACTACAGGAAATTCACACATTGCTGTTCTCAAAATACCTGTGTCTGCTTTAGATCAGAGACACAAAGTGTTTGGAATCCGTTCTTTTTAGTGGGGTTGAATTGAGGGCTCTTCCAAATGCTTGTTGTTGTAACTCGATAATGCTGCTTTTTTTAGGTGATCAGAAAGAAACTTGTTCGCAAAACTCTTGATATGATCAAGAAAATTGCAGAGGAAAAATACAATGACACATTCTGGAAAGAGTTTGGTACTAATGTAAAGCTTGGTGTTATTGAGGATCACTCCAATCGTACACGACTGGCTAAACTTCTTCGCTTCCAGTCCTCTCATCATGAGAGTAACCTCACAAGCCTTGATCAGTATGTGGAAAGAATGAAAGAGAAACAAGATAAAATCTACTTCATGGCAGGGGCCAGCAGAAAGGAGGTATGTGAGAGTGAAAGAAAGAAGAAAGGGGTAAAAAATATTACAGCTTCTAGTTTTAGTACTATGAACATTGTGAATTATGTATTTGCTGTAAATTTGGAGCCTCCATGCTTATGTTGCTACTGCAGTTCAGTTTTTCTTGTACCAACATTTGTTAAATAGTTGTACAGGTTTCAGTAGCTGCTGATACAAATGCAATTAAACTGGAATCTTATGTGTTTTGTCCTCTTAGGCTGAGTCCTCACCATTTGTTGAACGTCTGCTGAAAAAGGGCTATGAAGTGATCTATCTGACTGAACCTGTAGATGAGTACTGTATTCAGGCTTTGCCAGAGTTTGATGGCAAGAGGTTTCAGAATGTAGCAAAAGAAGGAGTTAAGTTTGAAGAAAGTGAAAAGTCTAAGGAGAGTCGGGAAGCCTTGGAAAAGGAATTCGAACCACTTCTAAACTGGATGAAAGACAAAGCTCTGAAAGACAAGGTAAACTATTCTGTTACATGTAGTGGTTATTTTTAAATGCTGTTGTACTTGCTACAATGCACCTTGCAGATTATTTGAGCATGGACTTGACAGTAGCTTCTCTATCTCTATGGATAAACATGCTTAATACCTTTATTTCAGAAAGATACTGAGTTAGAATATGATCTTAGATGTTTTTCACAAAATATTGAAGTGACCGAAATTTCAGAGTTATTTACTGTATTTACTGTATAAGCTATTATCTCTGAAAATTAAGGCACTTATCTTCCCTACAGATTGAAAAAGCTGTGCTATCTCAGCGTTTAACCCAGTCTCCATGTGCTCTTGTGGCTAGTCAGTATGGATGGTCTGGTAACATGGAAAGAATCATGAAGGCTCAAGCTTACCAAACTGGGAAGGATATATCCACAAAGTAAGCTTTCAGTTATGTAGCAGCAGACATGAAATGCAGTTGATGGCCTCCCTTGCTTGCTGTGCCCATATCAAGCTTCCATCTGGTTCAGATGATCCTTGGTGTTTTTAAGGTCACTTATAACTAAGTTAGTCTCCATTATAGCCTTACATTTTTTAATTCAAAGCTCAGTATGTAGAACTGCCTGGTGAGCAAGACTCATCAGTGACATTTGCTATCTGTCATTTGTTGACAAGAGAAGATGAACTTAGTAGCTTGAGTGTTTTTAGAATTAAGCTAGTATTAAAGTGGGACGGGGGGAATATACTTGTTGCTGTGACTGTCACCAGTGTTCATGGGTTTAAAGATGTAGTTGGGTCCTGTACTTTAAAACTTAGTGATGTGACTTCTCTTTTTCTCAGTTACTATGCTAGCCAAAAGAAGACATTTGAAATTAACCCCAGGCATCCACTGATCAAGGACATGCTCAGGCGAGTCAAGGTAAATAAATAACAGTAGTGAAACATTGACTACTTGGCTGCACACAGCCTAATTAACAGGTCTGTTTTGGTTTTTCATATTCTTCCACATTAGGAAAATGAAGATGACAAAACTGTTTCAGATCTTGCAGTGGTATTGTTTGAAACTGCAACTTTGAGATCAGGATATATGTTGCCAGACACTAAGGAATATGGAGACCGAATAGAAAGAATGCTTCGTTTGAGTTTAAATATTGACCTGGATGCAAAGGTTAGTTTGTCCTCAACTTGGGGCTGATAATGGACTTTACTGTTGCTACATCTAAAAAGTGCAGCTCCTTGATTCACATGCATTCAGTTAAATGTATCCAGCTTCCTGCCACGTAAGTGGGCCACCAGAAGCCCAGCCATGAATCTGGACTTCCTACTCATGTTTTCCCTTCCCCACCTCTTCTTTCTAGTTGCTTGAGATTCTGCTACCTCGTTACGCTTCTCAAGTGTTGTCCTGTCCCTAGCTAAGTGGTGGTTCTACAGGAGTAAATTAGGGATCAAAGGCATGTGTGCCTATCTCTTTAATGGAGAAATTTCTAAGTGGATGTAAGTGATATGGGTTCTCTCATAATGCTGTGCAAGAACTTATCCTGGGTATTTTGCTGGAGAAGGCATGACAGTGGGTCAGTGCTAAACAGAACTTGCTTTCTCCTTCAGGTAGCTTGGGACAAACGTTAGGATATTTCCATAGCCTGTATTTAGCTAGTCCACAACTAGCAAAACATCCTAAACAAGTAAAGCAAATTGCTTGTGACACTCATACAGGTGGAAGAGGAACCTGAAGAGCCTGAAGATGCAGCTGAGGACGCAGAGCAAGATGAAGAGGAAGTGGATGCCGATGCTGAAGACAGTGAAACACAGAAGGTAGGGTTTTGTTTGACACTTTCTTGCCAATATTTATGTGCAGTTTTGTCTGTGGTGCTTCCTGGAAATAAATTTGTTCACTTTGTTCATGACACTAGATTTTAGTGTGAGGTTTTCCAGGCTTTTCTTGGAGGGAGGTGGAAAAAGGCAGCACAAATTCCATATCAAACTGTATTGTAAGAAGATGACACTTGGATAAGGTGGAGCTAAATTAAGCTTAGGAGATAAAAGCTTTGGATTATCTGTGATATTTCCACAGCTTGCAGACAAAAACAAAGATCAGCAAGAATGTAGTTTTTCAAGTGCTTTTACAATACAGACTTGTAGCAAGACTACAGACAGCAGCATTGCTTCTAAACAGTTCAACTATCATGTGAAGTCAGCCTTCACTTAGTTAATGGCTGCAGTTTTAATGATGTCTTGATGGATATGCTAAACCCTTCCCATACCTTAGTTTCTTGGGAAAAGACCTGCAAGATGACCTCTTGTGACTAGTGCAAATCTATAGCTTACAGAGATGTAATTTCCTACAGGAGAATGCTTATTGTACTATAGCTACTTAACTTTGATGCAGTATAACCTGTGATTACAGTAATACAAAGTTTCTGTTCTCTGGAACAGCTCTTGTAACCTTTTTCCACTTTCAGAAAGCAATATACTGATTCTTTCTTTGTCTTGACAGGAATCCACAGATGTGAAAGATGAACTGTAAACTACACTCAACTACTGTCCTGCATTGGGGGGTTAAGAGGGAATGTGAATTAGATTGTTTTGGTTTTTTCCACTGTAAAATGTTGAGGGATGGTATGGGGTTTAAGGGTAAAGGAGGGGTTTTTTTTAAGTTCACTTTTCTAAAAACATTCCTCATGAATGTAAATTTGTATTATTTAACTGACTTGGTGTAAAATCTTGTCATGTACAAAATAAAATGTTCCCAAACACCACTAACTTTAAATTTATACATGGAAAGCTCACCTTGTGGGCTGGCACAAAGAAATAAAGGGATGGGCAGTTGGCAATCCTCGTGCCTTTCCATGCTGGCACAGCCACACCAACGAGTGTAGCATAGGGCTATGGTTGGGTTTTGTGTTTACAAGCCTGCTGTGCTGCTTTGCCAAAAGACACCTGGTATCTGAGAGCTGTGCTGAACTTGCTAGTTGAAGAAAGTATTCAAGTTATGTATCTACTGCCATCTTAAAGTTGAGACAAGGCATTTAAAAATGGCATTAGAACTTGGGCTGGGCAGTTGCAGCTTTACAGCTGAGATGGGGGGAATTCCTTTCACTAAGTATGTGGACAACCCTCATCAGAGGTGGCTTTACTGCCTGTGAGCTGCTGCCATCCTCTGTGGTACTTGGAAACCCTGCCTTTGACTTGTGTAGCTACAGCAGTTTGCTACAGGCTTTTTTTAAAGGTGTGGAAGTTCTTTTCTCATGGTTACTCCTTAATGCTGTTATTCCTAAACTTTATCACTATTGTTCTGTGTCTCTTTAGTATGGCAAAGCACTATAGATACTTAATATAACTCAAGCTAAATCTATTGACACCAAATTTTAATGCAGACAGGTTAAACTGGAGGCACCACTTCTATTCATTACATTAGTTTTATGTAGTGGTTGGATGAAGCACTGCATTTTCTCAGTCGTGCCTCTACTTTAAAACATCTTCACAGGGTTGGTAGAAAGTGTTTGTACTGAAGGGTTTGTTTTTTGGGGTTTTTTTGCCTTCCTCTGTGGAAGAAATACATAGGCATGGTACTTCTACATAGTGATTCTCCTTAAGAACCCCTCACTTCTGTTTTCTTAACAGAACTTCTGTGAAGTTACAGGGTTCTGCAATCTGAAGCAAAATAAACTTTCTAATTAGGTTAGAGCACTAAACACTGACCTGAAGAACTTGCTTTCCATTTACTTTTACTAGGCTTCTATATTGCCTGATTACCATTTCCATGCAATAAATATGCCATGTATCACTGTGGTTATGGTGTTGGGGTTTGTAGAGAGATGGTTTTATTGAGGTATGCTGTTTGAGGCCTAAGGAATGAAACCTTAGTTTAGGGTGTTTTTGAGAGAGTTCAGAGTTCTGGTTTCTGCTCAGTGTAGCAGTATCCTAGAGAAGAGCCTTCTGTTACTGGCACATGCTGAGGAGTCTGACACCAGCTTGTCCTTCAGCACCTGGCAGTGTCAGTTGTAATAGCAGCCTTCGGCAGTAAGTTAGTGACTGGGCAGGTGCACCATCTCTGGAGGCTTGTTATTCTTACTGTAGCAGTGTGATTTTTATTTTTTTTTTTTCTTTCTTGGTGCTGTGTAGCAATCAACTGCTGCTGAGGCTTTAATACTTCCAAAGGTATCACTTATTTTCAGTGATACCTTTCTGAGTATATCGTTACTACCCCCACCTTTATATCTCTATTTGACCCCAAGCAGGAACTGCGACTCACTCCTGTATGGCTGGGAGTGCTTTTGCAGCCAACAAACCAAAGTGGAATATTGGAAGTGTAGGGTTGCTTGCTACAGTATTCTTAGTCTGTTAATTACTTGTAGACTTAGGCAACCTTTGCTCTGTTGTATAGCTAAAGTTCTCATTGCCTTGATGGGTTTGAGGATGACAATTCAATTTGAGAAATAATAAAGAGCACACATGAGAGTCATGCTTTGTGCTTCTTCATCTACTTCAGCTGAGAGTATCATGTGCAACATAGCTGTGGTTCAGCTGCTTTCTCTAGACCCTGGAGTGACAAGTGTTTGCTATTAATAAGCACAAAATGCACTTGTAAGCCTACTTATTTGTCAGCTCTGAGGCAAAATGGTGTCAATGCTGGAAGAAGTGTCTCCCATCAGGCTGTTTCTTTTGGTGCTGCAGTTACACTGACTCTGGGGGTGTCGCTTCTGTTAAAACCTGTAGTGTTGTCAGCTTTGCTGTTCCTAGATGGGCACTAATGAGGACAGTTCCCTCAGTGCTAGAAAAGGCTGAGCTCCATGTTGCTCAGTTTCCAGCAGCAACGGGATACACCTAAAAATCTAAGCCTGATCACTAGAAACTTCCCTCTGCAGCCTTTAGATCTTAAAAACCTTTAGAAAAGGGAGAGAAATGCATTTTTCATGTCAGAAATCAACAACATAACAGAGGTGCTACTCTGACGAAGTGTGAGTAACAGGATAAGGGGTTGGTGAATCCTGGCTCTGTAAAGGGATCCTTGAAAAACTGCTGTTCCTGCCCCAGTTAGAACAGGAACAAAATACTGCTGAACTGCCCCATCTTGTCTCTTCAACAAACTTTCTCATGCTGAGGTGGAAGGTTGCTAATCTCAGCTTTGTTAGGTGCAGTAGGGGGAAAAGTATTTTCACCAGAGCTGGACTTACTAAGATGGTCTCACTGATTGATTTCATTTGGATTTAACATGTTTTACTACAGCCTTTCTATCAATGCCTGCTGTCATTGATAAAGGAGCCTGAAAGAGAGAGCCTGTGCCGTACTCCTGCTCAGTGCAGGCTGCATCCTGAACAGCACATAAGAGCAGGAAAGGATCTCATCCCACCAACAGCTGTAAAACTGTGGGAGAGCAGAGGCGCATACACATGCAGAAGAATTACAAACCTTTCTTCCTACGTAAACCGCTCCAACTTATGCAGACATAAATAAAAGCTTCACAGCTGGAACAGATGTAAAAGTAGCACTCTCATTGATCACTTCTGGATCCCTCTGCTATTACAAGACATCCAAGTACTTTGTCAGGAGGAATTAGGGAGCTTTTTTGTTTCTTTAATGCGTAATCTATCAGACTGTGGTTTTTACCCCCCTGAGTTAAACCCAAGTGAGAACTGAGGATGAAGCCTGTGCCTTATCTTGATATCTTTCTCAAGGGAAAACAATCCCCAACCTTCACAAGCTCTATCGTGTACCACTCAAAAATGGGTTGTTGTGCCACCTCTACAGGATCTTGACTCGGTACCTTCCAGTTCCTGGTGCAAGTTTTGTGGTGATCCTATTTCAGGACTGAGAGGTAAACCTGCATCTGTTATTTCAGAGTTTTGTATATTTACAGCTATCAAAAGCAGTCATAAACAGATGAAGATGCCCAAATGGAGTACAAATGTACATAATTTCAGTGTAATCTGAATTGCCCCATTTTAACTAAAATGACCAAGCTGTAAGATCCCGGCCTTACAGTGGACCAAAGTAGGTTTCCTGTCAGTGATACATCTTTGTCATGGTTTAACCCTTTATTCTGAAGGATAGTTACACTGCAATCCAGATTTAAGAAGTCACAACTATTTTGGCACACAACCAACTGGACTTTTAACAACAGTACTCATTGTACATTTATTTTAAATGCTGCCTGAAACTGCTTAAAGGAAAGCAAAAAAGCATTAAGGCAGTACAGTATTTCACATACATATTTCTGCAACTTAAACAGTTGAATAAATATTTTATCAGTCCTAGTTTTCACAACGGAAGTAACTTCTGGTCACTGTTGTGAAGTCCGAACTTTGCTTGATCTTTCTTTTAGACCCAACAGTTCTGTTCTCAGTTCTCCAGGCTTAGGAGGTATTTCAGGTATGCTCTATTAAAAACAGAGAAAGACTTCGGTGTTTTGGCAGAAGAAACACTAAACTCACAAAACAGTAAAGGATCAAACTCTGTTAAGAGCATTATAGCTGAACTGTGATTATACTGCCCTCTTCTTTGAGCAGAGTATAATTCCTATACGCAAAACATCTTAAAAATTATTACCTTTTTGTAATTTGACTTTTATTTTAAAATAGCAAAATATAATTGGGAAAACAAAAAAAGAAGGTAAAAGAAAGAATTAACAGTTTCATTTAAATGAACAAAGCTGCTTTTTTGCCATTAAAGAAAGTAAACTTGGTAGAGATGTCTAAAACAGTTGAAGTTTTCACATATACTCTTTCTCTTGGTGACAGAAGAAAATGTCTCACTGCCTCTACCTTCCTGATTTAGAAATTAAGCATTGAAGCTGAAGATGAAATTTAAAAATAAAAAGGTACCAGATGACATGACATTTCAAGAGCGAGATACCTCCTCAAAATTCATCCTACTTTAGGGATATAGATCATTTGATCATTCTGAATAAATATGTCTATTTGTCTGTAACGAAGGCTACACTAGAGACTACTAAAATACATAAATTCTTATGCATCTATCAATGATTTAAGCCTCATTGCTTAAATTTTGATGTGACAGCTCAAGCACGGTAATTTTTTTAAACTTATTTTCCATTTGAAAATAGTACAGTGAAATACAAAAATCAAGAGCAGGAGGGTGAGGGAAAACTTACAAGTCAGGCCTCCAACAGACTAAACCATTAATATTCCTGGTGGGTGGTTTCATTTGAAGTTTATTTCTGTGACTGTAGTTTTGACAGCCTTGCCTGTTGTCATTTCTAAAGTCAACTTCTGATTGTCTTCAAGTACTGAAGGAAACGAAGTCTATTTAAATCTAGCACAGCCCCTTCTCACCACTTTTGAACTCTCTTTTCAAAACCCAGCTTCCTACAGCAGAGACCCCTTTTGAAGGGGGTTACACAGCTTTTATTTTTGGTACCACATCAATAGAGTGGAGGTGGCTCCCCAGAGAAGTCACAGAATCCCAGAATTGTTACAGTTGGAAGGAACCTCTGGAGATCATCCAGTCCAACCCCCCTGCCAAGGCAGGGTCACCTGGAGCAGGTGACACAGGAATGCGTCCAAGTGGGTTTGGAATGTCTCCAGAGAGGCAGACTCCCGTGACCTCCTTGGGCAGCCCGTTCCAGTGCTCTGCCAGCCTCAACGTGAAGTTCTTCCTCATGTTGAAGGAAAACTTCCTGTGCTTTAGTTTACGGCCATTGCTGCTCATCTGTCGCTGGGCACCACCGAAAAGAGTCTGGCACCATCCCCTTGGCACCCACCTTTGAGATATTTATATGTACTGATGAGAGCCCCTCTCATCCACACTCTCTTCTCTACACTAAACAGGCCCAGCTCCCACAGTCTCTCCTTATAAGAGAGATGCTCCAGACCCTTAATGATCTTTGTAGCCTCCACTGGACCCTCTCCAGTAGCTCCCTGTCTTTCTTGTCCTGAGGAGCCCAGACTGGGGCAGAGCACGGTGCCGGCTGCCCGGACGGTGCCCCTGCAGAGGCCGATCTCTGTGCACAGCCAGGCCGGACGCCTCCCGGGGGCAAAGCCTCCATCCCGCACACACGCCACCACCGACCGGGCCCCTGCGAGCACTTACAAGGTCCGGCCGGTAGTACCTGTGCACGACCTCGGCCCCCGCGAACATGGCCAGCATGCTGGCGGCCAGCGCCCGCAGGTACGTGGGCCAGGGCACGCCGGCGGGCATGGCCGGGCCGGGCACTCCGCACACACCGACCGCGCCGGACGTGCGTCATCCCAGCCGCCACCGGCAGCGGGGCAGGGAAAAAGGAAAAGGGAAGAGGGTGTGGAGGCCCGCCCCTCGCGCAGGAGTGTCGCGGCAGCGCGCGGTAAGTCGCGACAGAACCCCCCGCACCTCCCGGGGCACGGGGGGATCACAGCCCCCCCTGCCCGGCCCCGCCCTCCGCGCCCATTGGCCGGCGCGGGTCACGTGGCGCGGGGCCGCCCGGCAGGTCGGTCGGGGGGCCGAGCGGGGGGAAGGGGCGGGGGGGGCGAGCGGCGACATCGGCGGTGACAAGGACAGGGACAGGGACAGGGACAGGGACAGCCCCGCCCGCCATGGAGCCCCAGGAGCTGGGCAGGTACCGCCGCCCGCCCGCGGCCGCGCTCGGGCCTCGCGGAGGGGCCGCCGTGGTCCTGCTCCTCCTGCTCGCCCACGTCCCGCGGGCGGCGGGCCCGCGGCCGGGCTGTGGCGGCGCCTCCCGCCCCTTCCTCGGCACAAAGGGGAGTGGAGAGCGGGGCTCGGAGGGGCCGGGCCCCGCGGGGGGGAACGGGGCGCTGGGCCGCGGTCGTGGCTGCGTCCCGAGGGGGAGCTGAAAATCGTTTAATACTTGGGTTTGTTCCGAGTGTTATTTAATACTTGTTTTGTGAACAAACCTTCTCTACCCTTCTTTTCATTTTTATTTCATTTGTATTATGAACTGAAGGGGGGGGGGCGTAGGGCGAGGGGGAATAAATCACTACCTTTTCCTCGTGGAACTGGAAATACTTATTCAAAAGTCCCATGACGTTTTGTTATGTTTGTTATACATCAGTAACAAAGAATTGTATTTCTGAACCCACGCGCAAGAAATGTGGCCTAAAATGTTTAGGAAACTTAGAGGTAGGGGTAAAAGTTCTCTTTCCTCTCATTAGCCAGTGGTTAGAGGACTTGTTTGTGACATGGCATGAATTTTCTCTCTATTTAAAGGAAATTTTATTCCCTGTACAAGAAGGATACTTTATATACACATAAAATAAGGCCTGTATTACAAGAAGGCATCTGGTCTTGGTTTCACATCTTTGTTACTTGCTCTGCTCTGCATGATTAAGCTTTTATTACTTTATGAGCTGGATTCTGCATGTGTCAGTTGTGTTTCACAATACAAATCTCAAAATCAGTTTGGTTTGGTTCAGTAGCTGCACAAGTATTTTATATAAAATGGAACTCTTCCTGCAGAGGGGTTAAAGTATTCACAGTACTCTGAAAATCTCCCATGACTTTATTAGGCAACTTCCTCGGGAATCTGACAGACCTACGTTCATATTTATTCTCCTTGATTCAGGACAGGTATTTGGTTCAAAATCAGTGGCTTGATCATAAGAGTGTAGGCTGTTCTGGTATAAATCTGATTTACAGTGGGATTCTTAAAAATTCATTGTGTAGTAGTGAATGGTCCCTTCTTTTGAGATATTTAGAATTACAGAATCCTTTATATTGGATAAGACCTCTAAGATCATTGAGTCCAACCATTAACCCAGCACTGCCAAGCCCACCACTAAACCATGTCCATTAGTGCCACATCTACATGGCTTTTAAATACTTCAGGAGTGGTGACTCAACCAGTTCCCTGGGCAGCCTGTTCCAATGCTTAACAATCCTTTCCATGAAGAAATTTATCCTAATATCCAATCTAACCCTTCCCTGGCATGACTTGAGGCCATTTCCCCTTGTCCTGTTGCTTGTTACTTCAGACTGACCCCCACCTGGCTACAACCTCCTTTCACATAGCTGTAGAGAGTATAAGGTTCCCCCTGAGTGTCCTTTTCTCCAGGCTAAACAACTCCAGCTCCCTCAGCTGCTCCTCAAGACTTGTGCACTAGGTCTTCCCCAGGTCCACTGCCCTTCTCTGGACACACTCCAGCACCTTAGAGTCCTTCTCGTAGTGAGGGGCCCAAAAATGAACACAAGATTTGAAGTGTGGCCTCACCAGTGCTGAGTACAGGGGGTTGATCACTGCCCTGGTCCTGCTGGCCACACTATTTCTGATACAGGCCAGGATGCCATTGGCCTTCTTGGACAAATATGTCTGTGTCTAAAAATTATTTGGTGTTTTTGTTAATAGCTTTGAGATGACAAAATTATTTCCTGAAAATTTACTGTTCACAAAATCCTTTCTATGTATTTTTATAGCAGCAGAATCTATGGCCAAGAAAATGGCTGTGTAGGTAGAAAGGAGTGACAGTATAAAGCAGAATTTTGCGTTGGGGTGTGAGGGCTGTATGTGACTAATAAGTGTGTGGAGGAAGAAAGCTGTATATGGAAAAATGTCTTTATGCATGGAAGGAAATTGAGTTTTTGTGTATGTGAACACTTCATGTAGAATAAGTGCAGTATTTTGTGTTGGGATCAAATGTGTGATAACTGGACAACATCTGCCACACAATTTGTTAAAGCTGTTTAATGATCTGCATAGTAACAAAGGCTGTGTGTGTTCTTCATGCTTTATAGCATGAAGATTCATTCCATTCTGGATCTTACCAGATCAAGTAAATGATGCAACATTAAAAAAATCTAAAATTTAGGAAACTTGAAGTCCAAAGAGTTTTAACTCACATGTGTTGTAAATTGTTTGATAGTTTGCTTTGGAAGTGTGTGCTACAGAGTGGTTTTCCTGAAAAAAAGGGTAAAGCTCTACACTTCACTTACCAATGTTGTGTTAATTCCACATTATAGTGATCACAAGAACTGTACTGTTAACTGATACCAGCTCAGCAGCCAAACTGCTTCACAGATTTGGATAATTTACTCCCTTGTTAATAGAGTCGTCGGAGAATATAAGTGCAATACATGCCAGCCTTGATAAAGTTTGATTTTTACGGTCTGTAGGGTACATCACCAAGTTTCTAAGTTGTTGACAAATTATGTCTCTTTCCTCTCCCTCCTAAGATACTACGCATATCTTCAGCAAGCTCAAGCATTTTACTCCTTTCCGTTCCATCAGATGATGACTGCAGTGCCCAACATGGAAACGATGGCTGAGCAGCCGACTCTAGAGGGCATTCCAGAGCCAAACATTGCTCAGGAGCCTCCGAAAGGTAGATTGACTGGGCTGTGCTAAGAGAGCTAAAACAGTAGTAATTGATTGGGGAAAAAAATATTGCTCTTAAACTGCTTCTTTGGACATATTGGATTTCCTTTTCTTGGTGCTGTCTGAGGAAGTATTGATTAATTGTATTCTTTAAGTAACGTGTTTTAACAGATAATTAAAAAGACAAGAAGTAAACCCAGGTGAATGTATTCAGGTTGTTCAGTCTCACACAATTATCTTGTTCCAGGAAAAGCAAAATTTTGTTTCAATAGATAAATGCATAATTTTTAACTAATGTCATGGGGTTTAACATTATGTTAGAGAAGGTGGGTTTTAAAAATTCTGAGTTCAAAATTTTTTTAAAAAATTTCTGCAGGAGAAGAACGATATAATACTGTTTATTTGAAATATTTTTGTTTAAATGGTTCCTTAGTGTGTTGTAGTAATCATAAGTAGGGAATTGGTTGTATAGACTAAGAATCACTTGGTTTAGTGCAGCTCATTTAAACACAATGCAAACAGTGCTGGAAAGTGTCCTGTACATGACACAAGTTTTGTACTCTCTGTACTTGTATGTTGCCTTTCTTTTTCCCCCTTAGGATTTTGTACACTTAGTCTTTGCAGTAGCTATGCCAAGGGGACATCTGTTGTTCTGTTACTGTGCTCACTCTTAGGACATAAAAAAGCAGTGATCTCTGCTATGCCTAAATTCTGATTCAGTAGCCAATACTCACACATAGAGTTTCACCTTACTTTAATAGATACAGCTCAGAGCTCTGTGTACCAAGGAGACTTATCAGCCAGTTCATGCAATGACATTGCTTGTTTAAATGCATCCTTTGATAACCATTTTTTTTTGTTAAAGTTGTAATGAGTGGCCAGATAAAATCGTAGGAGGAAAACCTCCAGTTTAAAATAGTTGTGACTGCTCAATTCTGTCACAGTATTATTCATTTCAGTTAGGCTGCATCTCAAGTGCTGTGTAGTCAGTCTTCTTTTGCAGTTTTAGTATTGGATAACATAGTGTCACTGTGAACACCCTGTTTGACTGCACTTGCAAGGATTTTTGGACAACTGTGATCCTCTGTTAGGAAGCTGTTCCCTAGTGTTGTTTTTTGCAAGAACTGTAAGTTGAGTAGGGCCTTCAAAGGTGGGGATGGAATATTTATCAAATGTCTATGAAATTTACAGGAACATATGAAAGACAAAGATTTGGAGTCCAGCTACTGCTGTGGTGAAAATAGTAAGATTTCTAGGATTATCCTCTGAAAGGCTGCCCTGGCATTGTTCATCTTCCATGACAGTGTCTGGTTGGTAGGTACCTGATCAGTGTGAGAGTTAGAAAAACATTATCCTGCTTCATTTAAAATACTCTGACTGCTCTGAGTTGGAGCATTATGTGGCATTATGCTGTCACATGAAAAACCTTCTAACTCTTCAAGGGGTAGAAAAAAGCTATTTATGTGGCTCACCAAGTCTAGACCCTTCTGTTCTCTTTATTGCAACTAGACTAGAGCTTGAGTAGTTACTTAAAGCTTCCCTAAGCAGTTGCTGCAGTGATGCCCTGGGAATTTCATGTGATTTTTGTTTTCCCTTTTGTTTACACAGCTTTCTTACAAGAATAGCTCCAAAAAAGTTTGCAGACTTAGGGCAGTGTCTGGGTATCTACCATAGTTATTTTTTATCTGAGGGAGATTTTCATCTATGAATTTTTGAAAATAAGATGAAGTCTCAGTTTTAAAGTAATAGATTGCTTTGTCTATTTAGCAGCTGATTGCTGCTAGATATATTTTCATATTTTTCAAGTTGTGTTCTACAGCTTCACATTATTAATGAACATAGAGAGCACTCTCTGGGTAGTCATGTCATGGCTAGTACCTGTGCTGCTTGAATCTCTAAATTTTAAGAGCCAGAAGATGAGGAAGCTTCAGATGAGTGAACAGTGACTACTTCATGTTGGCATTTTGTAAATAAA